TGACATACACATCCTACGGTACTCTTGTCTTGTCAGACAATGTCCAAAGTAGTCCGTAGTCTGATGATCCTCTCAAATAGCGGAACACTCTTTTTACCAAGACATAGTGTTCCCTCGTATAACAATTCAGAAATTTTCCCAACGTTCGCACTGCGTTGGCAATATCTGGACGCGTGCATTGGACTAAATATTGTAACGATCCTACAATTTGGCGATGATCCATTTCTGGATCTGGGTCTACACACACCGGTTCCACATCCGGGTTTCCTGGCATCGGAAAGTTGCCTTGCACTTGTGGCGTAGGAACAGGTTTACAATTTGTCATTTTAAACCGCGTTAAAAATCTTCTCAATGTAGCCGTGTTGGGTAATCGACATCCGACACCCTGGCATGTATGATATCTCCATTCCAAGCAAATGCTTAACAGGACCCAAGTCCTTAATTTTAAACTTGCTCCGAAGCTGTACTAAAACCATCTCAATGTCGGATTCCGTTCCCACAATTAAGAGATCATCCACATATACGGTAATGTAGACTTTGTTCTCTCCCACTGTTCGCACATATACACCTGCATCCATTTTTGTACGCCGAAACCCGCACTTTCTTAGATACTCATCCAGCATTTTGTACCAGATACGAGGTGCTTGTCGTAAGCCATATAGACTTTGTAACAGCTTGCAAACGCGACCAGAACCATCATTAAAGTAATCGGGCTGTTCCATATATATGTCGATTTCATCGAGAGGCTCATTCAAAAGTGCTGTCACAAAATCAATTTGGCGACAAGGCAGGCCCAAGAACAGAGCTAGAAGCAAAACAAATTTCACGGACTCAGCCTTCGCATCAAGCCACTTGGCCCGACGCAATTTAAGAAGTTATGGCATCTGTTGAATATTGTACCTGTGCCTACGACTACCACACCACAAGACATCAGAGACAACGAAGTGGGAGTGTGACGAAGTACAAGATTTTGTGTCCCTGATTCTAGGTGGGACATCGAACAGTTAGTCGAATGATGCTGGGACGCATCGTTACCGTTGACAGTTGAGGTAAACCTGTTGGTATATACTGTAGTCTAGTCTAACAGAGGGAATTGTCACCTACGAGGTTTTTCCCTCCTCAATCCCAAAGTTGCTCAGTGGGAAGCAAGTGTTCCGTGTTCTCTATTCCCTACTCTGTATTGTTCACCCTACAGAACAACGACACTCACCTGCACAGTGATAAGTATGACAGCTCATACCTGTCAATTCAGCAACCCTGGAAATAGAAGCGACGACGTCGAAGTCAATATAATGTCCATGGCAGCAACCATTACCAGAAGTCGGGTGGAGGTAGTGGCAAGGCTTTAACAGTAAAGAAGTATCATGGAGACAATCGTGACTGCTGGAACTGTCATGAAAAGGGCCATATCCAGCGAGATTGCACACGACCGAAGTGCGCCATAGATGAGTCCAAGTCGCAACTCCCGGAGCGGAAACGCTGGGAAAATAGAAAGCAGAGTAAAGGCTAGTTTGGGAACAGAAGAGAAGTTGCCATGCTGTCGCGTCAAGCGGATGATACGATCAATGCTGTTAAGAAGGATACACGTGATATGACCATTGAATGGGTCCTTGCTGAATCACGATTGTCATGTATGCACGAATAAGGAGATTCTGATGAATTTGCGATTCAATGATGGACCGATGGTGTTTGACTGGGAAGGCAAAGCTTCCCAATTTACAGACCAGATTGGGGAAGTGGAACTCAGAGTAAGGAATGAGACTCCCCCTCATGCTATGAATCCCCTTTCTTGATCGAAGGTCCTTTTCACACCGACTGAAAACCTCGTAGGTGACAACCCCCTCTGTTAGACTAGACTGCAGTAGATACCAACAGGTTTACCTCAACTGTCAACGGTAACGATGCGTCCCAGCATCATTCGACTAACTGTTTGATGTCCCACCTAGAATCAGGGACACAAAATCTTGTACTTCGTCACACTCCCACTTCGTTGTCTCTGACGACTTGTGGTGTGGTAGTCGTAGGCACAGGTACAATATTCAACAGATGCCATAACTTCTTAAATTGCGTCGGGCCAAGTGGCTTGGTTAAGATATTTGCCACCATGTCTTCTGACGGGCAGTATACCAAAGCAAACTCGTCGTTCTCCACATAATCTCTTATCTTGAGGTACTTGAGATCTACACTCTTCACTCTGTAGTCCCCTGTGTTTGCTTCGATCACTTTTATAGCCGCTTGATTATCTTCATATATAATAGTTCTTTTGCGACTCACCCCAAGCTCTTGACACATATTGTGCGTCCACATTATCATAGTGCTGCATTCAGCCGCAGCCACAAACTCGGAACAGCATGTATCATCATTAATCAATCTTTGTTTATGGCTTGTATATGCGTAAGTACAACCCTCCATTTGAAGTACATATCCGGTCACAGAGCGTCGATCATCTCGTTCATTTCCCAAATCAGCATCCGCAAATGCCACAATCTGCACGTCGATTGTAGGTCTTGATCCG